GCGGAAAGCAGAAGCAGTTTGATTTGAAAAAGCATTCTGATGAAAACTTTCCCAAGGAGCATTAAGCAAATAAAACTTGGTTTAAAGAGCTTTTTATGAGCTCATTTCCTGCAGAAGGTCATACAGAAATATTTGGTCGAATTGCGAGTCCTCTTTATTCGCAAGTGGAATTGCCAGTGTCGGAGCTTCGGTGCTATTTGCAGGATGCAGCCTCTTCAGTCAGTAATCGATAAGCTATCGTAAGTTGATCGAGCGGTCGTTAGCAGGAGTAGAGGGAGATTGCGAGAGGAATAGTCTAAAAATATTCAAATCTGGAAAAATGACCGAATTATAAAATCGAGTCAACGGTCTACGCTCCCCTGCGCTGAAATTGCTCGAAGGAGTCCCGGGGCGTACTTAAGTGCCGTTGGTTTCCGGCCGAAAATAGATTTACAACTAATTAAGCTTTATTCCTCTCCGAGCAGAGGCTATAATTCACGTGATAAAATAAATGGTAAAAATAATGCGCGGAATCGAGAACGGCGTTCCTACGTGTCCCTTTTTCTCTTTTTGCGTGTGGACGTCGAAGGCCAAGAGGCGAATCGGATATTTGGTCGAATACCTCGGCAGTAGGTCAAATTTCACCGATTAGAACGTTTCTGCCAGTTTCCATCAATTTTTCAATATGCTGACCGTGAACCTAAAAATTTTCCGGGAATTTTACGACGATTCAATATCACCCTAATCAATTTTAATGGACAAACTTGAAAATATTGTGCGTTCCAGAAAATACCCAATTCAAACGCCATACATTATTGAAACACTCCTAAAATAACCCAAAACTTCATAGATAATTCACGCCTCTACGTTTTATGCATCTCCTTCTGAAAACTTAGCGGAATATATGGCATTTCAAGTTAAGAAAAAATAATTGATGATGTATTTGCCTAAGCGTTAAAAAAGGGGTCTCATTTAACTGCTGCTGTCTGAACCCGAAGTCTCTTTTTCCGCGCAGCCAACTATTTTTTTAAACTTTTGTGTTTTTCGGATAGGGCTATATCTTGTCGTGTCTGTGTCGTGGCGATAGTTTCAATAATAGGATTGTGGGAGGGCATGCGACGCCCAGAAAGTATAAAAACAATTCGATGTAAGATTTTAAATAACTAAAAAAAGACGAGGAGTTAAACTTCTGAATTCCTTGTTAAATTCTCACTCATTTGTGCGGGTTGCATATTTAATCCCTAAAATTGCGAAGACATTTTATGGACGTTTTTTGACTAGAAATCCTGCGAAATTTTATTTCGCATCCTTTGCAAAAAGGCATTCATTAATTATGTCATGCACTGGAAAAAAAACACATTGGATCTAGAGTCCAGACTCTTAAAAACATCGACAAGAAAAAGTACTCTTGTATTAATCAGAATCTAGCTTAAATCAAGAACCAAGCCTCCTAATTTAAGCGGATTTCTTTTTAATTCAAGCAAAAATCCGATTGAATCAAGGGTATTTTTTCTTGTCAATGTTTTCAAGAGTCTGGACTCTAGATCTAATGTGTTTTTTTTTTCCAGTGTGCGCTACGAGGAGAGCCTTTCCGGAGAAGAAAGAAGAGGGGCTCTAATCTAACGTGACGAGTGCTGAGGACTCATCTTAAATGTGCGTGTTTGTTTCAATGTTCAACCAGCGGTAGTAACACAAGCGAGAAGGTGTGATAATAACAATTAGACATTTGCTTATCACGATCATCAACCTCTCGTAAACCTATCAAAAGCTGTCTAACACGAGACAGTGTTGCCAATCATGGTACTCAACCTACCCTGACACCCTTAGTGAAAGGTAACAAGCGGCAATTATCACGGCTACTCCACCCGAACGATAACAATTAGTCGAACGCGGAGGTTATTTTCGTTGCTACACCGTTCAGCGTGTCGCGGTGTCACCGTGGAATGATGGATGCGCGCATGCTCCGATGAAACCGTTCTCGGTGCAGGAAATAAACACGGCTCTGCCTTCTCCGGTGGTGATTTGTTCCTGAAATCCTAAGCCTTTCCGGGCGGAGGGATCTGCCTCCTCGCTGATTGAGGGGACCGAACACGTTCGGCGATTCCTCGGTTGCCGGGCTGGGCAGGGTCGAATTTTCTCCATCCGAAGTTGTGGAGTAGAATTTTGTGGGACCGACTGAAAATGTACTTCAAACACGACCATAATGAGTTCACCCAGGGCCCGAATTTTGTCGGCTTTTTCAGACGGAAATGCAACATCCATCGATGAGTCCAAACCGCACCATTAGCCAATCAGAAACGCTAAGCCGGACTTGAGTGCAGTCGACAGTCGAGACTCGTCCTAAGTATACTTAAGTACGTTGGAAAGAATGACAAAATTCGGTCTCTGCTGGCCCTTCAAATTGGCTGGTGGTGCAGTTTGGACTCATCGATGAATGATGAAATTCGGTGCGAAAAAACCGACGGAATTATTTGGTCCTTGGCCCTGATCCTAATTTCGGTTTTTTGCACTTAGAAACTATGGCACAGTTAAAAAACCATACTTTTGCCATTAGTTTCCCAATGCACATAAGTGTTTTTACAATTGTAGGTCCTAATTGCAAAATGAAGTCCATTTGAGCACGTGCAAAGGCGTTACCAGAGAAAGAGCTTGATGCAAAAACGGCTTTTTTCGCCCCCCCTCTGGAAGTTCTTCAGACTTTGTGTATTGATTACTCATACTTGAGCGCTTCTTTTCCCAAATTTTCAGACCCCCAAAAAATTTTGGGGGGGAGCTAGGGGGGGGGGGGGAAGTCAAAACCTGTGAACCTCGATATCTCTTGAACNATAGGACTCGCAGTATGAGTCGCCATAAAGCGACGTTGTCAAGATTATGATTAATTCCAGGGTTCAACACTCAAGTATGAGTAATCAATACACAAAGTCTGAAGAACTTCCAGAGGGGGGGCGAAAAAAGCCGTTTTTGCATCAAGCTCTTTGAATTTGGATAACTTCATAAAGAGAGCATGGATATCCACCCTAAGATAACGCAGAGATTCGGTTGAAGTTAAGAGCGTAGTGCGCCTTTGATTTTTTGCATATGCAACATGGACATACGTCGAGCAGGAATAGTTGCATCAAGGCGTTGTCAACCAGGTCGAGAGTGACGCAAAGAAGCACAGTCCTTCCTTTATCCCACCACATACGTAGATTCTCTCCTAATGGATTTTCCCTTGCTATTTACGCTGAAATCAACATAAGGGGTCGCTTTGTGTTTCATTCCACTAAAGAATCTGAAATAATAGAAAAACGAATCATTTCTCTCAGCGCAACCCCCCTCCTCCGCATTAAACATAATTTTTTTTGTCAATTATTTTGCTCTATTCCATTCCAGATTTTCTGAAGTTTTACCTCAGGACTCCAAGTTTTTACCCCCCTCCCCTACTCAAATTTGCCCGAGATGACGCCCCTGCTTTCTAAACCATCATAAGAAATTCATATTTCAAAACTATATTGAACTGTCTTACAAGATCGAAGGTTGGTTTCGAAACACCCGGACATATTCCGATTCAGCGCGGTGTCAGGGCTCCTGGAGGTTGTGGCAAATGAACCGTGATCTCTCCATCTTCCGCGAGCATCTCCCGTTGCACCCTACCGCATCTTCACGTCCTAAATTTAACGGATCCGCCGAGCGCCCGTATTTAAAGGGCCGTATCGCGCCACTAATCTCGCGGAGAAATTTCCACCGCACTCGTGGCTCCGGTTGAAACGCCGCGCGCCGCTCAAAATGGACCCTTATACGGTTCAACTGTACCGTAGAGGTTGGAGCGGATCCTCATCAAGTTTCAGCAACGGACCACTGATCGAGGCAATGAATTAAAACATCACAAGACAAGCGTGAAGAGGGGCCTCATTCCAGGGGGAAAATTTTGAGTGAAGAGAGATTTTTTTCGGAAAAAATCGGATTTTGAGATTTCGATGAAGAAGCTCTCTAGGATCTTACAAGATTAGTTGCGAGCGCCTCGGTTCATTTTGGACTGCATTTTGCAATATGGACCTATAAATTCTGGCTCATCTGAAAAAACACGTATGTGCATAGGGAAACTAATGGCATATACGTTGTTTTTAAACCGCCTATTGAGAGCATTAAAATGCATTACAATCACACTAAAAAAAAATTCCGGCCGTGGAAGCAGTACTTACGGGCTAAGTATATAGACATAACGTCCGTTCCGGGTTCAGAAGTTGAAAGTTCCGGGTGCTTAAGCCGTAGCTCCGACTGCTCCGGGTTCAGAGGACGGAGCAACGGGGGCTATATACGAAACTTTCAGCCTTTCAGCCCGGAATGGACGGTACGTCCTTCCGTCCAAAATGATCATTTTTGAGAAGAGTTTTTCTCTTGAAATTTTCAGATTACTTACACCTGGTCGCGAATAAGATTCTCTGAAAAATTCAAAGGAGAATGTTTACAGATTTCTCTGAAAATTCATGATTAATCAAAGTAAATTTAGCAACGTCTGAGGGCTCATACGGCGTTTTTCCTTAGCACGGCTGAAACGGCGTGGCAGTTTCAGCCAAGACTTCCTATCCTCCTACGATTTGGTCCTGGACGAAATGTCACTTCTCACTCGGATTCTTCCGTTTGGTTTCTGGATCTTCAAAAGAACTATCACAGCGGTCGCCGGCCGGTAGGAGCGGAAATTCAGCTGACAGCTTAAAAGTCCATTTGCCAGACGGAGGAAAAATTCAGAAATAAAATAT